CTCCAAATCAGATCTTGTGGATATTACTTATGCAGCTGCCATGGGGCAGGGGGTTAGGGGGGAGCGGGGACTGGGGAGAGAATTAGAAAACACCCATTTGACAGGAGAGGTGTACTCAGTGGGTGAATTGCAGGAAGTGATGAAGGCTGTGATGTATGGCGGGGAGCCTAGGTGACATTTTGGAGCTCTGAGCTTTGATCTGCCACTTGCCTCTGGCCTGTGACCCTGTGTTCAGCAAACTTCCATTGAGCCACAGCCCCTTTCTCCAAAAAGTGCACACTGGAAGAGAGAAGCAGGCAGAGAGGCAGCTTGGAGCTCCCACAGAGACAGAGTTAGGCAAGTGCCTTGGTGCCACAGAGACAGGGTGGGTTGGGGGCCCTGGGGAGTTTCAGAAGAGGCATCTGAAGGGTGGGGAGAGGACTGCGTGGCAGGAGGCATGCCTGACATTGCTGTGGGTCTCTTCCTCTTTGTTTTTGAGGGGGAGGATGCTGATCTCCAAAGTGTCTTCCAAAAAAGGAACAAGAAGTCTGTGCAGGGGTCAGTGGAATACATTAAACTGGGCAACCAATGAGACCGAGGATACCTTCCTTTTAGGAAAGTAGGACACATGGGCTGGCACAAGACCACCCAGGAGGAGGGCCTTGAGAGCGGCATGGGGCAGGGCCGGAAGCCAAGAGTAGGGGTCTCCCTAGGTATTTGTGCAGGAGATGGAGCCCCTTGGGGCTTGGGAAGGAGGTAGTAAGGTTGGGAAACCAGCCCCAAGAGCTCTTAGTGCTGGTAAACTGGTCCCCTCTACTTTCTGAGGGCCTGAGCCCTTGTCCCTCTGGAAGGCAGTCCCTGCTTGAGGCTGGTTCTCTGGGCATCCCTTAGGCCCTGAGCAGTCTTGCTTCCAAAAAAGGCCGGCAGCCCCCAATCCCTTCGATTCCTTTTATATCTTCCCTAGGAGGCACCGCTGCAGGGCCGGGGACTGACTGGAAAGGCTACCTTGAGTCCATCTTGCACACAAAGGGGCAGCTCATTTCTCATGTTATTGCAGGGTTGAATTAATAGAAAGTAAACAAAAGGATGAATAAATAAAGGAATGAATGTATGACAGGCCCAGGGATTTCCCTGGAAGTTGGCAAAGTTCCTTCTTCTCACAGCCAATCTCTGAGCAGAGAAGGGTTGAGGCCTCAAAAGAGGCCGAGCTTCTGGAAGAGGAAGGATGTGATCTTAAAGAAAGTTGAATATAAACTCAGAGAGGCACAGGCCTCTACCTCTGCAATGTGCCAGGAACTTGGCAAGTGCTGGGGAGGCGGAAGAGACACCACTGCCTTCAAGGAATGTTTTGTGGAGTGTGCATAATAACAAGGTGGGAAAAGGGCTGGGGTGAAGGTGTGGGCATGGTGGGAAGAGTCAGGGAAGGTGTCCTGGAGGGAACAGATCAACAGAAATTTGACCTGTGATCAGCAGTAAGTCTGGGGAAGGGCGAAAAGGGCATTCTAGCCAGACAGAAGCTAAGTGTTAAGACACTGATATGTGAAAGAGCACAGTAGTTCTAAGGCCCGCAAAGCCATGCACACTGCGATAAAGGGATAGGTGAGAAACCAGGCTGGAAAGGTAAGCGGGGCCTTTCTGAAGGGGGTATTCAAAGACAAACAGGACAATATCCACACCCTTGTGGGGCTTAGTGTTTCACTGGGGCAGAAGACAGGCACACAAAAAGTTAAATGACAATACGTGAGAAACCACACTTCTTTACTGATCTGGTAATAAGACTGCTGCTTACAGGCATGTAGTCAACAGAGTCCCTGGAATTGACAATGTTTTCTTTCTTTTTTAACTCAGACATAATTTAATATATACCTGATTAACAACATCCATATTATTGATTACTCAAGATACCCTTTCCATTCTAGAATATGGGATAGTTATGTGATGCTTAATTGGTACAAGCAATGTTAACACATCAAATGTGGTTACTACTAAAAGTCCACGTGTTCCACCTTTCAGGGTCCATTTGATATCAAGTAATTCTCTGCTTATCTAAAGACCATGAGAAACTTGCTGACTGGGAACACCTGTGCTTAACGGTGCCAGGCAGACCTCTCTGAGGTCACACCATACCCTTTGCGCAGGGCTGTGGAGCAGCTCAGGTCCTTTCTTCCCAAGGCCTGCTGAAATATCAGGTATACACCAGGAAGACAGAAGCAATAGGAGAGATAGATACAGATATAGAAATATGAGATGGGATTTATTAGGGGAATTGGCTTACATGATGGCGGAGGCCAAGTCCTAGGACATGCACACTGCAGGCCCTGGGATGGCAAAAGTGTGACTCAGTCCAAGTCCAAAAGCCTCACAGCCAGGGAGGCTGGTGGTATAAACTCACAGTCCCAAGTCTGGAGAGCCTGGAGTTTTGATGTTCAAAAGCAAGAGGAGGAGAATACCCCAGCTCTGAGAGAGAGAGAGAGAGAGAGAGAGAGTGAGAGAGAGAGAGAGAGAGGAAGAAGAAAGAAGAAGAACAAGAAGAAGGAGGAGGAGGAGAAGAAGAAGAAGAAGAAGAAGAAGGAAGAGGAGGAGGAGGAGAGAAGAAGAAGCAGCAGGAGGAGGAGGAAGAAGAAGGAAGAAGGAGGAGGAGGAAGAAGAAGAAAGAAGGAGAAGGAGAAGAGAAGAGGAGGAGGAGGAAGAAGGAGGAGGAGGAGAAGAAGAAGAAGAAGAAGAAGAAGAAGAAGAAGAAGAAGAAGAAGAAGAAGAAGAAGAAGAAGAAGAAGAAGAAGAAGAAGAAGAAGAAGAAGAAGAAGAAGAAGAAGAAGAAGCAGCAGCAGCAGCAGAAGAAGCAGAAGCAGCAGCAGCAGCAGCAGCAGAAGAAGAAGCGGCGGCGGCCGCGGTGGCGTCCGCGGCAGCAGAGGAGGAGGGAAAAAGGAAAGAAGAAAGAAGAAAGAAGGAGAAGGAGAAGAAGGAGGAAGAGGAAGAGGAAGAGGAGGAGGAGGAGGAGAGGGAGAGAGATAATATTTTCTGATGTCCTTGTCAGCAATTTGAAAACATGGGGGCTGGCCGGGCACGGTGGCTCACGCCTGTGATCCCAGCACTTTGGGAGCCCGAGGCAGGTGGATCACGAGGTCAGGAGATCGAGACCATCCTGGCTAACAGGGTGAAACCCCGTCTCTACTAAAAACACAAAAAAATGCCAGGCGAGGTGGCGAGTGCCTGTAGTCCCAGCTACTCAGGAGGCTGAGGCAGGAGAATGGCATGAACCCGGGAGGCGGAGCTTGCAGTGAGCCGAGATGTGCCACTGCACTCCAGCCTGGGCAACAGAGCAGACTCCGTCTCAAAAAAAAAAAAAAAAAAAAAAAAAAAAAAAGAAAAAGAAAATTTGGGGGCTGCCTGATACTTAGGTTAGGTGGAATCCTCGTTGGTTGAATATGCTTTCCCAGAGAGTAATGACTATGAATGAAGGACAACCTAGAGGAGAATCTTTTGTTTTGAACCTTAGGGACTATTTTTTAAATCAGTTTTCACTCCTGGCACAGTGAGGGAACAAGTTATAGGACTAGGTTCCTTTTCTTACCAAAAAATCTCCAATATATATATAAATCAGAAAAAAAATGGCAATAACAATAAAACTCACAAAATAAGTTTCCAGGAAAGAAAAGGCCATATCATAAACTTTTAAAACTTGAAAACCATTTTAAATGTCATTTAACAAAAAGTTATTTTAAAGTCCAAAGGAGATTAGTTTATCCTCAAGAAACCACTGGAGACAGCAGTTCAGATCAGAGGTGTGGCCAATTCTAACACGGGGGAGGGAGATCCTTCCCAATGATTGGTAAGGATCCAAAGACTAAAAAACACTTGACTCCCCCGGGTGCAGTGGCTCACACCTGTAATCCCAGCACTCTGGGAGGGCCGAGGCGGGTGGATCACGAGGTCAGGTGTTCAATACCAGCCTGGCCAAGATGGTGAAACCCCATCTCTACTAAAAATACAGAAGTTAGCCAGGCAAGGTGGCGGGTGCCTGTAATCACATCTACTTGGGAGGCTGAAGCAGGAGAATCGCTTGAACCCGGGAGGTGGAGGTTGCAGTGAGCTGAGATCGCGCCACTGCACTCCTGAGGTGTGAGTTTTTGAGGCAGAGCGAGACTCTGCCTCAAAAACAAACAAACAAAACCACTTCGCTCTTTGACCATTTCTTCTAGCCTTGCTTCCATGCTGCATTCGTTAACATGTTTCCATTATAGTTTTATCAATAGATCAGTGTATTACATTGAAAAGCATTGTTGAAAAGCTGCTACTTTGGGAGTATTTGTGGGAGGGATGGTGGAAGAGACTGGCCCACTGCTCCTGCCTCTTCCATCTCAGTCACCCAAAAGCACTAAAACCTTTACACCTGGAAGAACTGTCCAGCAGGCAGAGCTTACTAAGGATAGAATGGGTACCACAGTAGTGCTGAGCTTCCTGGACTAGGATGTAATCATATAGGGGCTTGGATGACTACATGGAGAAATGATGTGCCAGGGATTCTGGGGCCAAGCAGTGCTTAGGCCCATCCCGGAGGGTCTCTCATGATGTTACAGCAATGATTCTGTGAGTCTGATGCATGGTGCACCCGGTTTGAGTCTCAGTACTTCAGATTGGGATGAGATCAGCATGTTACTTTCAAGGAAGGCTTCCAAGGGAGCCAACTGAATGGCAAGGACCTGGACAGGCAATGATTGCTTAAACCAACCCTGCATCCCTACAGCATCACCAAGCTGAGGAGGTGGAATCTCTGAGGGGCAAGATATGCAAGATATCTTTGTGTCTGAGGGTGATGTCTCCTAGGGAGTGGGTTTGATGAAGTTTGGGTTGGGTCTCAATCCAGCTCTGCCATATCTTAGATGGGAAAGCCTGGGCCAAGTTACTTCAGCTCCCTGAGCCTCAGTTTTCTCATTAGTCAACGGGAGCTCTACTTACTTCGCAGGGTTTCTTGAAGTTTACACAGGAGTTATAAAGCATCTAGTCCAGGATCTGGCACCCTGCAGTGGTCCAGTAAGTGATCTTTTATTTCATTCCTCCCTTTCAATCTCCTGTGTCAGGATATCTGTCGTTTCTCCCCTCTGGGCCTGTTTCTCTGGGTCGTTGGTGCCGGAGCTGCCTCGGGAGCTGACTTGGCAACCCCACGCTCAGAGCAGACTTCCCCAGTTGCACACGGTGGGAGGCGCCTGGGCAAGATTTGGGAGCTCGCCAATGCAGACAGGTATTTCCAGTCCTGCTAGAGAAGCAATGGGTGGAGGTGGAAATGGGGATGGGGGAGGAGATCGGATGAGCCCGGAACCTGGGTGGATCCCCTGGGAGGAGGGCGGGGAGTCATGCTCCCCTCCTGGTGCTCCTGCCCCCAGGCTCAGATTTCAACCCTTGCTGCCGCCTCTGTGGCGCGCCCGTTCAGGGAGCAGAGAGGGTCGCCGAAAGGACGGCAAGAGGCCAGCTCCCGCAGCCCTGGAGCGCTGGCCGGAGCCGGCGGCCCCTGTTGCCGGCGGCGGGAAGCGACCCACCGGCCTTTCCACGCTTGGCTGTGCAGAGGTCCACGAGGGGGCGACCTGAGCCCACGTGCCGCCGAACCCTTCCCTCCTGAAACTACAACTCCCAGGCCGCTCAGGGGTCCCGCCCGCCTCAACGCGCCTCTGGCGGCTCCAATTGGCCGCCGCGGGAGGGGGATTGGCGGTCTCCAGGGCGACGGGAGGCGCTCGGGGCGTCCGAGGCGGGGAGGCGGGTCCGCCCCCTATTGTGTAGCGGCGAGAGTGGAGCAGAGCGGTGCGGAGCAGGTGAGGGAGGGGGCGTACTGGGGGTATAGAAGTGGGGGTGCTGGCGGGGGCATGGAGAGTAGTGCGGAGTTATGGGGGACAGGAGAAAGCGGGGAGTTCTAGAGAGAAGTGGAATTCGTTGGGGGAGCAGAACTAGGGGAGTTCTGGGGAGTGAAGTGGAATTCTTGGCGGGTGGGTGGGGGTTCCCGGAGAACTGCAAGAGTTCTGGAGGCAATGTGGGGGAGTTTTTGGTGGGTTCTAAGAGAAAGGAGGAGTTCCAGGGGACCGTAGAATGCGAGGGAGAAAGGAATTGTTGGGGGTGGGGTATCAGAATTGTATTGTGAGCTGAGGCAGGAGAATCCCAGGGAGGAGAATTCTCGGCAGGAGAGGATGGGGAGAAGTGGCTGGGGGGCGGGGAGACCAGAAGGGAGTTCCTTGTAGCGCAGGGGGCCTGCTGCAATTGGAGATCTGGTGCCAGAAGCTGGAATTGTGGGGGGACTGTGCATAGTAGCGATAACTGGAAAGGGAATAATGGGAGGATGAGGGAGTGGTGTGTGAGGAGACTAGAAGGGTGAGGAAATAGTGGAGGCAGGGGAAGTTGGAAAGATATTAGGAGACTCGGAGGAATTCTAGGGATACCTAGTTACTCCGGGTCTTGGAAAACAGCCAGGAGAGAACTAGGGGGTTCCTATATACTTGGAAAAAGGTTTTTCAGGGAAGTATGGGAGAGCTGCCTGGAGGCAGTGGGAAACAGGGGGCTTTGTTGCTAGTGAATTGCCAGAAGTTAGACGGTACAGGATCATTATGTAGAGGAAAGGATCAGACTCTGTGGAGGATGTCTTATAGTCTATCCTGAACTTTGTGGCCAAGAGTGGGTTGGAGGCCTCAGAGCAGAGTCCGCTTGGCTGCGCCGGGCCCTGGCATGGACCCTCTGGCTCTCTGAGACTGCCCTAGGATCTGTGGGGCTGTCAGGAGCTCCTACCCTCCATGCCCCAGGGCTCATTTTGTACACTTCAGGGACTCACAGGCTTTTTTTGGACCATGCCTGGGGTTGGGGAAGAGAGAGCCTGACAAACCTCGCCACCCCGAAGATATTGGAGGGGAGTGAGTGGGAGGGATTTGGGTGAGGTCCTTCGGTGGTGGTGCCTGGCAGTGGGAGGGCTGCTTGGCAGTATCATGAGGAAGTTGTGCCAGCTGCCAGCCCCAGGACCTGTCCAGACCTGGAGGATGCTGCCTGGGCCCCCCATACCGGCAGGTGGGGGAGGCAGCTCCTCCTCTCCCAAGTGCCTCACTCATTGCCAAAGCAGTGTAGGGAGACTGAATGGAGAAAGGCCTTGGGTCCCCAGCTTCCAGAGTTTTTCATAGAAGCCGGGGAAATAGGACAAGGGATTGTATGGGGGTGTCCTGGGGACCACTTTCTGAGGGTTAAGGGCCCTGGATTTGCCCTTGACTGGCTCTCTGCCTCTGAACAGAGATCCTCAGGGCCCTTATTTGTCACAGTGAGGTGAAGGTGACAGCACTGGTTCCATCTTGCTGCTATACCTTGTAAGCATCAAGAGTAAGGAAAGCAGCAAGAGAAGGCTGGGCCATGAAAGTCTTGATCTACCATACTTCCTTCAAAAATCTTTTTCCAAGTATATAAGGAACCCCAGTTCTCTTCTGGCTTAGTTTTTCAAGACTCTCAGAAAGCAGGCGTCCCCAGAATCCTTCCGCGTTTCCTAAGACCTTCCCAGCTCTCTCAACCTCCCCTATTTCCTCACCTTTCTGGTCTCTGCATTCAGCACTCACCATTCTCCCAGTACTCCTACTCCTGCTCTTACTCCTCAGGGCTTCAAGATTCCCCCCTTCCCCCTACCCCCCACTTACTTACGCTCCTCCCTCCTTTCTCTTCCCAGTGCCTTTCTCTAATGGTGGGGTTTCTTCTGGGCTCCAGTATTGGCCAACTCTGCATGTTGCCTTGCACTTTGCATTTAGATCTGGTGGTTCTCCGGAGAGCAGCTTCCTCGGGTGTTACATGAGCCAAGCCCTCACTGTACAGATGAGTGAGAGCTGAAACCTGTTCCCTGAGCTGATCAGAAGGACATCCCTTGGCCCCTCCATCTGGGCCCCTGTGGATAGGAGGGGCTGGGCGAGCAGGCCAGCTGGGCTATGGTGTGGTGCCTCGGCCTGGCCGTCCTCAGCCTGGTTATCAGCCAGGGGGCTGACGGTAAGCTCGACTCCTGGGCTCAAGAACACCCTGTTAGCCTTGGGGTGGGTATGGGGGTGTTCCTCAAGGGTTCCTCTTTGAGCATGTGAGGGCAGGGGAGGAATAGGGCTGGTTCTGGAGAAGCTGAACTGGGGGTTTCTCCAGTCACCCAAAGTCCTAAGGTGCCTACAGAGATACTGATGGCACCTCCCCTCCCAGCACTGACCCTGGCCCCCCGTTGTGCCCTCATGCCACCCATCATGCAGGTCGAGGGAAGCCTGAGGTGGTATCGGTGGTGGGCCGGGCTGGGGAGAGTGTGGTGCTGGGCTGTGACCTGCTGCCCCCGGCCGGCCGGCCCCCCCTGCATGTCATCGAGTGGCTGCGCTTTGGATTCCTGCTTCCCATCTTCATCCAGTTCGGCCTCTACTCTCCCAGAATTGACCCTGATTACGTGGGTAAGAGTTCTCCTCAGGTGGGAGGTAGGCAGGTATCAGCAAGAAAGGTGGACTGGGTAGAGTTGGGCAAGGCCTCCTGTGAACTGCTCTGTCCCTGCCCTGATCTCATCTCCAGCCCTGCTGCCTTAACTCTGCTTAACAAGCATGGTTGTGCTCCCAAGCAGTGTTAATTCATTGAAAGATTCATTCATTTACACACACACACACACACTCACACTCACTATTATAGCTGTGCTATTTAGGACTCCACGTGGTCTGTTCCAAAGGAGATCCTGTAGCCCTATTCCAAGTATCCATTCTAATTTTGTAACTGCTTTTTCTAGATCTCATCATGGAACCTCCCAGACTTCATCCTGATCTGTAGTCTCCCCATTTGGCCCTACCTTGGTCCTGGCTCTACTACCTGCTCACTCCTCTGCCCTCTCCCCCTTCCCCATCACCTTAAATGCTAGCTCAGGGATTCAAGTCTTCTAGGGAATGGGCTGATGGGGCAGCAGGATGGGTGCGGCTGTGACCTCTCTGCTTTTCCAGGGGCACTCAGCCTGCTTCTGAGTAGAGAAGCACAGGTGTACGGAGAGGGTGGCTGGGGAGGGCCCAGGTTCCCCAAAGGTCAGTGACTGAATGGGGCTGGCCTGGGTTGCTGCTTTAGGTGGCACCTGTTGGGACTTAAAATCGTGTGTAGCCTCCCTGGGCGCCTTCTGCTGCACCCCAGCTGGCTCCCTAGAATGGCTACAATGGCTCTGCTTCCTCCTAATCCCGGATGGAGCCTTAATCTAAGCGGTTTAGTGCCAGGTCTCAGAGGGCAGTGTGCAGGAGGCCCTGGGGACGGGTCTGGGCTAGGGCTGAGAGAGAGTCTTGTTGCCTCCTCTTCAGAGAGGGGAGACCCAGGAAAGGCCACCTGGGAGGATTTTGATGGGGAGACCCCCACCTTTTCCCTCTTTAGTTTGAATCTTGAGGGAAACCCTGGGATTGGCTGAGCCTTGCCACAGGGCGGGCTGAGCAGAGAGGGGAGGAGGTGCAGGCAGGTGATGCAGAAGGGAAGTTTATTTTCAAACTGGGGGCAGTTATTGGCAAACAGCCTGGTGGGAGTGTATGTGTCTACACAAGCCCTGTGGGAATGGATGAAAGCGGGCCCCAATTAGCACCAGTGGAGAAAAAAACGGCTGTACCCACCAGCCCTCCCTCCCTGCCTCCGCCTGCCCGGTCCTGGGAGGGGTCTTGGGCTGCCGGGCTGAGGCTGGACAGATTCAAAATGTTGCCTGACTGAGGGCAAGCAAGGGGAGGCGGAAGAGAGAGGGGCTTTTCCTGGGACTCCACCAGGGAGACTTGAAGCTCTTCCTTCTCTCCAGCTTGTGTCCTGCCTTGAGGTCCCTCAGGCCTGAAGCCACTGGATGGTTAGCAACTTTGTCTACCTGTGGGTCTTCCTTCTGTCTGTGCTGTTGCTTGAGTTGCAGGGGCTGTGAGCAGTAGCCTCTGGGACTTACTCTCTACTCCTATCCTTTGTTCACACCCCTACCTCAGTCTGGAGCTCTTGGTCGGGCCCTCTGGCCGAGGGAGTTGAGACCTGAGGGAGACCCCCGAGCCCACTAACCCTTTTACTGCCTCACAGTGTGGAAGGGGCCTCTCAGCCTTTGTGTAGGGGACTCGGAACTGCTGTTGCTAAGCAACAGAAGGTAGAGGTTGCTAAGGACAATGCTCTTCTGTCATAAACCCTCTGGGCAGTGAAGGGGAGATGGGCCAGGGACTGTTGTGGGGCTGGTGGTCTAGAATGTGTGTGGAACCCTGACAGAGACTGTTGGAGGATTAGGGACCACACAGAAGGGAAGGCTTCCCATCTTTGAGGACTCTAGAAGCATCTAGCAGAGGGGACTGGATTTATCAACGAGTGCCATGGAGTGAAAGCAATACAAAACAAGCTAGGACTAAAGAGTAGGATTCAGTTAGCTGCCGTGTGTAAAGTGTCCCGGCCTGTGCCCGTACAGTGCCTATGTGGTGTGAACCCATGACCAGGCCTCCGGAAGGAAGGTTAGGCTTAGTCGACACCAGCTTTCCTAAGGTGGATCTTAGACCAACTCATCAAAATGGCGGGATGGACTTTTGTGCTGTATTTCTTGGGATTTTCAAGATGCCCCACATAGCAGAAGGGACATGCATTTTTTTCTCTGCCCTGAGTTGTTTGATAAAAATCAGTGACCTCATTCTCCACTTAGAACTCCCCTGCTTGCTCTAGTCACCTCCCCTCACCACCTTTTATTCTTAACCCTCTGCCCAGTCACAGCTTCCCAGAAGCCTTCCTTACTCCTCTTGCTTCATAGTGCAATGTCTGGGTGCAGTTAGCACCATTTTTTGAACTTCTTTGTGGATGTGTGGACATGAACTTGCCCTTTTAGGTGACTGTGGGTTCCCTGCCTTCCGAGAGCTCAAGAGAGCAGAGACTGTGTCTCCTGTTTTCTTCACACACCCCAGCATATGGGAAGATCTGAAGTCAACAGGCTTTAGCCCTGCAGGTGGAGGGAGGCCTCCAGGAGGTGGGCCCAGGACTCAAGAGGACTCAGGGCTGCCCTGCCGGAGATCTTCCTGTTCTTCTGTAACACTACAGGTCTAGCAGTCCAACTGTCAGAAAAGCTAGGACACGCAGTATGCTTCTTTGGATATTCTCAGTAACATTTGCACTGTTACCCCTTGGCTACCAGCATCTCCCAAGTGCGAATATACCGATTACACCCAGTGCCCTGAACAGCACTTTGTCCTAACACCCGTGTCCATGGAAAGCATGCTGTGTCTGGAGAAAGAAGCCTGGCTTTGTCACTTACTAGCCATGTGATTTTGGAAAGAAACTTAACATTTTAATTCCTTAAGCTACAATAGAATTCTTGGGAGGATTAAATATGGTGACAACGCCTAATATTACATGGCCCGTATTCCACACTCAATCTTCCTTCCCTCTTCTTCCTTCTTTGTGGAGCTAGAAGATCACAATAATGAAAAGTGTCATGTGGGACATAGAAGAGGTTGCAGTCTGGGGTCTGCAGGGTTCAGCAGCCAGGCAGATTAGCCTTCTTGAGGAATCCTGACAGTAGGTAGAAGGGTATGATTATGTTAAATATTTACCCGCTAGGCCTAGTCTTATCTCCCGGGTGGGGATTTCAACACCTAGCCCTTTAAGCAGGTCCACCCATCCTAGAGAATCCACACCCTGGAACTCATTCTAAGTACAAAAAGACTCTTGCCTAAGATCACAAAGCCTGCCTCAACTTGATCCTTCTTTTCTCTTCTTTCTGAAATAGATCACTCTAGAGGTAGAATGGAAGCAAATTGCAGGGGCTGAGCACATTCACAGCTTCGGAATTTCTAGTATTAGGAAGAGCTGGGGTGGACGCTATGCAAAGGGACTTGGAGCAACATTTGCATACAACATAAGATTAAGAAAATGCAGCCAGGCACAGTGACTCACAGCTTAATCCCAGCACTTTGGGAGGCTGAGGCAGGAGGATCCCTTAAGGCCAAGAGTTTGAAACTAGCCTGGGCAACATAGCAAGACCCCTGTCTTCAAAAGTTAAACAATTAGCCAGGCATGATGACACTTGCCTGTAAACAAGCTACTGGAGAGGCTGAGGCAGAAGGATCACTTGAGCCCAGGAGTTCGAGGCTGCAGTGAGCTACAATCAAACCACTGCCCTCCAGCCTGGGCAACAGAGTGAGACCCTGTCTCTAAAAAAAAAAAAGAGAAAGTTCCATTTGTTCACAGCGGAGGTCAAGGTGGGGATGAGCAATGTGATGTAGAGGGGAGGAGGCTGGAGGCAGGGAGACCTGCAAGTAGGCGGTTGGAGAAACCCAGGTGAGACATGCCACACGTGTAAAGGTGAGGACAGCAGAGAAGGGGAAATGTTTAGGAGGTAGGATTTGAAAAACCTAATGAGCAAGTAGATACGGGAGGTAATTGAGGAATCTAGGAGATGCCAGGTTCCTGATAAGGTAACTTGGTGTGTGGTGGTGCTGTTCACTGATGGAGGGAGAGAAAAGGAAGATGATGTGTGATCAGTTTAGGGCTAGGGCCAGGACTTGAGTGCAGCTTTCTGATTTCAAATCTAGACCTCATTTATTTGTTCAACAACTTTTATTTGAGCATCCAGTGATACCAGGCACCATGCTACATGCCTTCCCTACGTTATTTCTCTCCTCCACCCCACCTTAATTTTGTTTCTCTTCTTTTTACAGATGAGGTAAGAGAGGTTAAGTAACTTGCCCAAAAGAGTACACAGTCGAGCTGGACTCATGCCTAGGTCTATCTGGCTCCCAAGTGTGTGCCTGTATCATGAGGCTACACTGCCAGGGACCCATGAAGCCGTTTGGGGTGCACAATTGCATCCAGGGAGGGTGCTGAGGGCTTGGGTAGGCACCCTTGGTCTGAGCCTGGCAGTGTGGTGTGGATGCTGACTAAGAGCGGGGTTGAGGTGTCTGGTTGTGCTGTGGTTGTGTGGCTTTGTGGAACTGTATGTGGTCAGCCCGCTGGGGCCTGAGTGCCCCGGGGCATGGAAAGGATGGGGCGAGGAGGCTGCTGACTTTGCTGCTTGCTGGGCTGGACTCTGGCCACCCTAAGGCGCTTAGGCTGCTGATAATAGCCCTGAGGGATTAGGGGCTTTGGCAGGCGGGGTCTGGGTTCCCCTGCTAGGGCCTCAAACACTGCTGAGGTTTTCAGGGAAACAATGCTCTATCAGGAGTACTCCCAGGAGCTCACACCTTCCCCTACAAAAAAAGCCCAGATCCTGTAAGAGTCCAGAGGAGACTACGTGCTGGCTCTTCACCTCCTTCCCCAACAGTCCTGGACGCCGAGTGCAGTTCAGGGGGAAGGTTTTGTCCACCTGCTGTCCCCTTGGTTTCTCTTTGTGTAGACAGGGTCCCAGCTGTTGAACGGCAAGAGCGGTCAGAGGGGCTGAATGGAGGGACCTGTCCTGAATGACCCCAACCCCATCTGCATCTCTGTGGACCTCACACTCTCAGAGTAATTGGGAGAGACTGAGCCTGTTCTTACCTCTAAGAATTACCAGTGTGACCAGGGGATTGGGGCTTCCATGGGGTTCCTTCAGCACCCTTGATTCAGGGCTCCTCCCCCAGGACGAGTCCGGCTGCAGAAGGGGGCCTCTCTCCAGATTGAGGGTCTCCGGGTGGAAGACCAGGGCTGGTACGAGTGCCGCGTGTTCTTCCTGGACCAGCACATCCCTGAAGACGATTTTGCTAACGGCTCCTGGGTGCATCTGACAGTCAATTGTATGAGGCTGCGGGGCAGGTGGTGGAGAAGGACAGGGAGGAGGAGGATGGGGACCTCTGGCTGGTGGGAGAAAGGGGAAGAGGGAGTTCTATTTCTATCCCACAAACAACTCTGATGCCCCACCCTTCCTGAGAGTCCTTGTTTGCTCACTTAGTAGTTGCATCTCACCCCTCCCCCATACTCCTGCCCTTTTCAGTTCTTCAAATATAAATCCAATCAGTCTTCTAGGCTCTGTGTCAGGAACTCCCTCTTTCTCTTCCCTCCTGCTTCCCTGGCCAGGGAAGTGGGTGGGAGAGAGGGGGCTCTTGGGCCCTGAGTGAAACACAGCTTACACACACATAGCACTTTGTGTTTTCAAAATACCTTTTCACCCAGGCCCTTATTATTTCTGTCTCACTCCTAAGTAGGAAGGAGGTCATAATCATTCCCACTGCATAGGTGAGGCTGGGTCATGCCACTGATTAGTGGCAGAGCAGAGTCTAGGACCCAGCCCTCCTCACTCCCAGAACAGTGCTCCTCCCGAGGGGACGTGGCTCTCCCCGCCGGCTCTGGACATCCAGCCTGGGTTCAACCCCAGGCCAGTGTGTGGGGGTGGGTTGATAGAATCCTCACTTGGCCCGGGTGCAGCAGACAGGGTGGCCCCGGGCTGAGCATTCCTATGAGGCGGGGCTGGTGGGTGGGCAGGGCAGCAGGCTGGAGCCCTGAGTCATCTCCCTGGCCCTCGGGCACTGCTCTTTACGCTGACAGCCCCTCTGGGGCCCCGATGCCTGTCTCCCTTGCAGCGCCCCCTCAATTCCAGGAGACACCTCCTGCTGTGTTGGAAGTGCAGGAACTGGAGCCTGTGACCCTGCGTTGTGTGGCCCGTGGCAGCCCCCTGCCTCGTGTGACGTGGAAGCTCCGAGGAAAGGACCTTGGCCAGGGCCAGGGCCAGGGCCAGGTGCAAGTGAGTCCTGGGGGTGGATAGAATGAGCCATATAGAGTGTGAAGGGAAAGTGGGGGCCTGGCAGTGGGGCCAGAGGACAGAGGAGGCAAAGGCCAGGCTGGAAGATGGGCCAGGAGAGGGGGTTGGCATTGTTTGCCCCGAGCCTGGGGTGCTGCCTCCCTCTGCTGGCCAGCCTCGGAAGTGCAGGATCTGAGGCTGGCAGGGGAAAGGACTCTTCCTCACCCACTCCTTCCCTAGGTGCAGAACGGGACACTGCGGATCCGCCGGGTAGAGCGAGGCAGCTCTGGGGTCTACACCTGCCAAGCCTCCAGCACTGAGGGCAGCGCCACCCACGCCACCCAGCTGCTAGTGCTAGGTGCTCTCTGGCGGGAGGGCTGGGCTCCAGGGTTACCTATGCAAGGGGGCTGTGACCTATGGCTGAATTGGTTCACAGCAAGATAGGAAGATCTGGGCCTGAGGGCAGGGCCCGTGGAAGCTGAGGGGGCTCCCAATGCAGGCTGTCGCTCTGAAACCAGCACCTTAATTTTAAAAGGCTCGGTAAGCAGACAAAGCGATCTTAGTGCCTAGTAGTGTGTTATAGTGGAAAGGACATGGGTGCTTGTGTTAGGCTGTGAACCGGCTAACTCCTTGAGTCCCAGTTTCTTCATCTTTATAAAGAGACTCATGTCTACCTCTCAGGTCTGTTACAAGAATTTACTTAGGTCCAGCTGAGCCCAGTCACAGGCACATGGAATTCCTGGCCAAGATCCTTCCTTTAGAAGGGAAACTGAGAAGTAGAAGGCCTGGACTGTGCCTTCATAGAGCCTATTATCTTTGTGGGGAAGTGGGACTAATTGGGGAAACAGGAAAGTGTTGCTGTCCGTGGTACTGTAAGAAAGGCAGTGCCGGGTAATGGTTAAAGTGTCGTCTGTGGCATAAGGAAGCCTAATGGGAATGTTGCCTCTCCTGCTGTCCTTGGGCAATCACCTCACAATCTCTCTGCCTCTGAGCCTTCATTTCTTCATCCATAAAATGGAGACAATTCCCACCGCCAAGCTTTTGGTCAGGATTAAATGAGGTCGTGCAGGTAAAGTGCTTAGCACTCAGTGTCCTGCATGCAGTCAGTGCTCTGTTGTGTCAGCTCGCAGCATGACCTCTTCTTACTGACTACTCATGCGGTACCGGCCCAGAGAGGGGAAGAAGTAGTGGAACTGTAGTAGCAGAGGTGCTTTTGCAGGAGGTATGTGGTGTGGCCAGGCCCTTGGGAGGGACATTCCAGACCGGGGGTGCAGGGAGCAAAGGCATGGAGATGGGGGACAGTCAGCTGCCCACACTGACCTGAAAGAGTTCATGAGGGCTGACATGGAAAGATGGCTGGCCAGGTAGGGAGGGTTTGGATCTCAGGGGTCCACACGGCTGGGTTTGAGCTTAGTGTAGTAGGAGCCAGGTGCTGTTGCACGTTCCTGAGCAGAAGTGTTCTGTGGCTCAAGGGGCTGTTTCTGTATGAATGGCGATTAGAGTGGCAGCCACAGGGGGGCCTGGAGTCAGGGGCTGCTGCAGCATCTTGAGGTGAGGTATTGGGCACCTGGGTTAGGGTCAGAGACAGAGAAGTAATTCAAGAGGTGACAAGCAGGGATACAAATGGTAAAGGAGCAGAGTTAAACTGACTCCCCCAAACACACACACCATTCCTAGGCAGTGGAACCGCATGAATGGGGTTGCTCTTGATGGAACAGAGAGAATTTGGAAAGAGGAATGGGTCTCAGGGAGAGGATGAATTCTTGTTACATACAGGGGGAAGCTTCTGTTTCCGTTCCCCAAAGCCCGGTAACAACGAGCCTTAGGATTCCAGAGGGCAGAGCTGGGAAGGATTGCAGAGGTGACCTCAGGGTTCTGGGAAGACTGTGGGCTGAGGCCACCTTCCTCCCCTTGTGCACCCCACAGGACCCCCAGTCATCGTGGTGCCCCCCAAGAACTGCACAGTCAATGCTTCCCAGGATGTTTCCTTGGCCTGCCACGCTGAGGCATACCCTGCTAATCTCACCTACAGCTGGTTCCAGGACAACACCAATGTCTTCCACATTAGGTGGGGTCACCCTCATTAGGAGGGTGGAGGTGGGGAATTCACAGTCTCTGAAGAGCCACTTGGCTGGGCAAGGCCTGGACCCCTCCTCACACATGCCACATTGCAGCCGCCTGCAATCCCGGGTGCGGATTCTGGTGGACGGGAGCCTGCGGCTGCAGGCCACCCAGCCTGATGATGCCGGCTGCTACACCTGTGTGCCCAGCAATGGCCTCCTGCATCCACCCTCAGCCTCTGCCTACCTCACTGTGCTCTGTAAGCTCCTGACCCCAGCTTCTCCCACAGCCTGCTCCCTTCCCCTGGGCCAGGCCAAGCCCCTCTCCCCCAACTTGCCACTACTTTCCCCCAGACCCAGCCCAGGTGACAGCTATGCCTCCTGAGACGCCCCTGCCCATAGGCATGCCGGGGGTGATCCGCTGCCCGGTTCGTGCCAACCCCCCACTGCTCTTTGTCAGCTGGACCAAGGATGGAAAGGCCCTGCAGCTGGACAAGGTACAGGCTTGGGGCAGTACAGCTTGGTGTTATTCTGCTCAGGACAGCAGGGTGGAGTTAGCTCAGTTTAATTCAATTCTGTGACTGGGGACACACATCTTTTGTGAATTTAATTTGTGTTATGAGACATGTTGCATAGGAGACTACTTAAAACCCCTGAGGAAAAATTTCCATGGTTTAAGGTGGTGGTTTTGTGTCTTCTTTGGGGAAAGAAGAGAGATGATCTCTGGGGAAAATGATGGCAAAGAGTCAAGAAGCAGAACTGAAGGTTCTTTCGTGTGATGATTGGGGAATTGTGTGTCCCGGGGAACACACACTTCTTACCAGGTGCTGTGTGGGATACTGGGTTGGGGGCAGGGGGAAGGAGGCATCCATCCTTCAAGTGGGCACTGCCTGGGCAGAGGACAGCAACACTGTCTGGAAGGCCACGGATGGAGCTCATGCCTTTCTTTTAGGGTGGTTGAGGATAGACCAGCAACAGATTCTGGGACTCTGGTGATGGGCCTCAAAGAGGAGACAGTCATTCCCTTGCAGAAACCAGGGTCAAGAGGCAGGAAGTAGTATAGTGCGTTTATGGAATCATGTGTTATGGAATCATGGATCATCCAATTGGGTGGAAGCTGGAGTGCCTGTAGGGACATGAATGGTGCAGAGAAAGCTGGAAAGACAGGTTGGCATCAAAAGGCAGAACTGTGAATGCCAGGTTACCATTGCCTCATTCCAAGGCAATTGGGATCTTTTGTCTGCAGAGACTATAAATTTTTTGAGGCCTAGTATTGCCGTCTTTTCATCGTAGTGTACCTGGGGCTTCTACAACAATAGTACTCAGTATTATCTTTGTTGACTGTTTAAGAAAAAAGTCTGCAGGCAGTTGGAGCTGCTGGAGTTTGTTGAACATTGGTGTGATAGCATCAGAGCTGTGATCAGGGATTGAGCTTATCCAGTGGAATGTAGCAGGAGATACTGGACATAGGAAGAGGGGTTCTGAAGCTGCTGAAATGGCCAGGTGAGAGTTGTGGAGTCTGATTTAGAGAGGACGACATGAAGATGAATGGGCTCATGCCCCGACAAAAGGGACGTCTCAGGATGACTGGCTTAGGATTTCGCTAGGGGGAGTGAGGGAACGTGTGGAGGCAGACTTCAGCAAGGAGGACGGTGGGCCCTTTAATAGAGAAATAGGAGCTGGTGTGGGGTGGAAGACGCTGAACTTCGTTGTGGAGTGCTGGGAAGGGAGCCAGGTGAAGTCCCAGCAGGCAGGAAGCCCCATGTAGCCCAACTCCAGGGGTGGCCATTCACAGTGTATTTTCTGTGAGTGGCACCCCCTGGAGTTGTGCAGTCACAGCCTCACACTATTGGGAGGGGTCCCTCTGTAGGCAGGAGAGAAAGGAAGCGCTGGAGATCGGAGAGGGGTCAGGCCTAGACATGGAGCTGCTGGAGTCCTCCGCATAGCTGTGGGTTTCTCGTCCTGCCCCCTCTCTTGTACTGCCATCCCGGGCTTGTCTCTGCCGAGCTCCTCTCTCTAGCTGTCATCTCCTCTTCCTTCCAGTTCCCTGGCTGGTCCCAGGGCACAGAAGGCTCATTGATCATCGCCCTGGGGAACGAGGATGCCCTGGGAGAATACTCCTGCACCCCCTACAACAGTCTTGGTACCGCCGGGCCCTCCCCTGTGACCCGCGTGCTGCTCAAGGTTAGGCCGGGGGTGGGCGGGGGCCTGTGGTGACAGTGAGTCAGATGGCTGGAGATGGCGCTAAGGCCAGGCTGATGGGGGTGGGGCGGGGCAGACACATGGGGAGGGGTTTCCAAGTCTGTTTCCCATGGTGGCCACGGCAGCAGCTGCCCGATGCCATCCCAGAGGCTTCTGCAGAGGTGGTGCTTGGGAGGTGGGACATCAGTCACACACATCCAAAAGTAAGATATCCTATCCACCCCAACTCTCACTAACCTTGACCGTGCTGCCTCCCTCTCTGGGGCTCTGGGAGGAAGAATGTTCTGCAGAAGTTTGTACATCACTGAGAGTCCTGCCTAAGCCTGCCAGCCCTTACTATGCCACCATTTCCCTCCAGCCCCTACCCACTGGGGAACAGACACAGAGCCACAGAAGAATTGAGAGATGGAGAGAGAATGAGGTGGAGACAGGCTTGGTGAGTGTTTAGCTAGGGGGAGTGAGAGAGAGTGAGGTGAGACATGGCATGACAGGAACACAGAGAGGGGGAGTAGCCAACCTTAGATGGTGATGTAAGAGAGGGCCCCTCCCAATGCCAGACCTGGCTTGCAGGCTCCCCCGGCTTTTATAGAGCGGCCCAAGGAAGAATATTTCCAAGAAGTAGGGCGGGAGCTGCTCATCCCCTGCTCCGCCCAAGGGGACCCTCCTCCTGTTGTCTCTTGGGCCAAGGTAAGGCTCCTGAGCCCGCTCTGCCTGTACCCGTGCCCACTTCACCCCTGCCTCTTGTGCCCCAGCCATTTTGTGGGAGGGAGGGTATGGGAAGGAGAGGGCTGTCAGAGGCGGGGTGGGGAGGAACTGGAGCTGCCTGGAGAGATGAGGGGCGCCCTTGGTGAGGGGTGGCTGCGTGTGTCCTCAGGGCTCACCAGTGGTTCTGTAGGTGGGCCGGGGGCTGCAAGGCCAGGCCCAGGTGGACAGCAACAGCAGTCTCATCCTGCGACCATTGACCAAGGAGGCCCACGGGCACTGGGAATGCAGTGCCAGCAATGCTGTGGCCCGAGTGGCCGCCTCCACCAACGTCTACGTGCTGGGTTAGTGGCTGGAGAGATGGCCAGGGGCTGGGAGAAATTACATGGGAATCGTTTTTGGAGGCCCAGAAAGGGGATCATGGGTGTGGGACCCCTGGGATGATGATGGGTGAAGGGCACTGGCCTTGGGGCCCCTGCTACTCTTTACACTCCCTCAGGCCCTGACCACCATTCCTCCATTCCCCCCTGCCCAGGCACTAGCCCTCATGTTGTCACCAATGTGTCCGTGGTGCCTTTGCCTAAGGGTGCCAATGTCTCCTGGGAGCCTGGCTTTGATGGTGGCTATCTGCAGAGATTCAGTGTCTGGTACACGCCACTGTGAGTGACCTGCTCCTGCCATTTCTCTGCACCAATCTTGCCTCCTTTCCTCTCCTCCTTGAACCTATCTGGCCTTCTGCCCTGTCTTCTGTCCCTCTATCCTTCACCAGTCCTGGCTCTGCTTCCCTGTTTCCAGATTCTGAGTTCAGGGCCAAGGTCCTGAGACCTTGGATGGTTGAGCAGAGAGGAGTTGGTTAGATCTCTGGACCCCAGATCTTCTGGTCTACCTAGCTAACGAGGTACCCCCCGTGTCCTCATGTCTCCCAGGGCCAAGCGTCCTGACCGAATGCACCATGACTGGGTGTCCTTGGCAGTGCCTGTGGGGGCTGCTCACCTCCTAGTGCCAGGGCTGCAGCCCCACACCCAGTACCAGTTCAGCGTGCTGGCTCAGAACAAGCTGGGGAGTGGTCCCTTCAGCGAAATCGTCTTGTCTGCTCCTGAAGGTGAGAGGCTTGTAGTCCCAGAACAGCAGAGACAAGGATGGAGAAGGGCTGCTAGGAAAGTTAGGATATGGGAGGTTCTGGGTGGGAAGGGGCAGAGGTGCTGGCCAGCTTAGGGTCCAGAGGGGTGTGTGGAAGATGATTTGAGCTTGTCTTCAGGGGCTCTGGGAGAAGAGTTGGGCACTGGGGTCGTGGAAGGCCAGGGGAGGGGCGCTGGGAATCCTTGCTCTGACCTGCCTTTCTGTCCCCTGCAGGGCTTCCTACCACGCCAGCTGCACCCAGGCTTCCTCCAACAGAGATATCCCCTCCCCTGTCCCCTCCACGGGGTCTGGTGGCAGTGAGGACACCCCGGGGGGTACTACTGCATTGGGATCCCCCAGAGCTGGTCCCTAAGAGACTGGATGGCTACGTCTTGGAAGGACGGCAAGGCTCCCAGGGCTGGGAGGTGCTGGACCCAGCTGTGGCAGGCACAGAAACAGAGCTGCTGGTACCAGGCCTCATCAAGGTATGTGCGAGAGGCAACACAGGGAGCAGCCTCCTAGGGCCTCTCCTGCATCCTTCTCCATTCCCCAAACCCTATCTTCTCATCTTGATTTGAGCTCTTCATCTCCGCATCCTACCTCACCCTTCCGTCCCACCTGCACAGTCTTTCCGCGCACCGCTGGGATGGGCGGTGCTGGGCCCTGACCTCCCTCCTGGCACTCCATCCCCATCGCAGGATGTTCTCTATGAGTTCCGCCTCGTGGCCTTCGCAGGCAGCTACGTCAGCGACCCCAGCAACACGGCCAACGTCTCCACTTCTGGTGAGCACCTGGCGTGAGGGAGGAGCCCCAGGGCTTGCGGGTGGGGGCGGGGGGCTCCGAGTCCACTGACCCTCCCTCGTGGCCCCCTGCCTAGGTCTGGAGGTCTACCCTTCGCGCACGCAGCTGCCGGGTCTCCTGCCCCAGCCTGTGTTGGCCGGCGTGGTGGGCGGGGTCTGCTTCCTAGGCGTGGCCGTCCTCGTGAGCATTCTGGCCGCCTGCCTCATGAACCGGCGCAGGGCTGCCCGCCGCCGCCGCAAGCGCCTCCGCCAAGGTAAGCCCCTCCACCCTCAGCCCTCCTCCTGCGCACTTGGGCCTAGTGCACCGAAAGGCCCCGCCCCTCCTTAAGCCCCTCCTACCTGGGGGAAAATCCTCGCTCCTGTGTGATCCAGGTGCATGCTCTTAGTCCTGCATCGGGTCCTGCCTACGCTTTTCCCACCCGGATGGGGTTGGGCGTTTGGTGTTGGGTGAGAGAGTCTGCGCCTGGAGGGCCTGGTTTTTTGCCTGTGTCACCTATTATTCTCGTGCCCTTCCAGATCCACCTCTTATCTTCTCTCCGACCGGGACATCAGCTGCACCGTAAGTGCCTCCACCTCCTTGGCTTTCTTCTGCTTTTCCATTGTACATGCCAGTATCCTCTGCTTCCTTTTTTGCATCTTTACTAGGGGGATGTTAGGGGTGGGAGAGGAACAAAAGTGGGAGAGGGTAAGAAGGGGTGTGCAGTGGCCCCAGCCTGAGGCCGGTCCAGTATGGCCTGTGCCTTCCCTCCACCCCTTCCACCTTGTTGGTCCTTTCCTCGCTTGTTCTCCCTAGCTCTGCTCTGTTCACCAAACCTCTCAAGGCCTGACGCTGGCTCCTGGGAGGGGGACCTGCCCCTACCACAGACCCTGATCTCCTGTCCTTCCCCAGCTCTGCTCTGGGCTCAGGCAGTCCTGACAGCGTGGCGAAGCTGAAGCTCCAGGGTTCCCCAGTTCCCAGCCTGCGCCAGAGTCTGCTCTGGGGGGATCCTGCCGGAACTCCCAGCCCCCACCCAGATCCTCCGCCTAGCCGGGGACCCTTACCCCTGGAGCCCATTTGCCGGGGCCCAGATGGGCGCTTTGTGATGGGGCCCACTGTGGCGGCCCCCCAGGAAAGGTCAGGCCCGGAGCAGGCAGAACCTCGGACTCCAGCCCAGTGTCTCGCCCGGTCCTTTGACTGTAGCAGCAGCAGCCCCAGTGGGGCGCCCCAGCCCCTCTGCATTGAAGACATCAGCCCTGTGGCGCCCCCTCCAGCAGCTCCACCCAGTCCCTTGCCAGGTCCTGGACCCCTACTCCAGTACCTGAGCCTGCCCTTCTTCCGAGAGATGAATGTGGATGGGGACTGGCCCCCTCTTGAGGAGCCCAGCCCTGCTGCACCCCCAGATTACATGGATACCCGGCGCTGCCCCACCTCATCTTTCCTTCGTCCTCCAGACACCCCTCCTGTGTCCCCCAGGGAATCACTTCCTGGGGCTGTGGTAGGGGCTGGGGCCACTGCAGAACCCCCTTACACAGCCCTGGCTGACTGGACACTGAGGGAGCGGCTGCTGCCAGGCCTTCTCCCTGCTGCCCCTCGAGGCAGCCTCACCAGCCAGAGCAGCGGGCGAGGCAGCGCTTCGTTCCTGCGGCCCCCCTCCACAGCCCCCTCTGCTGGAGGCAGCTACCTCAGCCCTGCTCCAGGAGACACCAGCAGCTGGGCCAGTGGCCCTGAGAGATGGCCCCGAAGGGAGCATGTGGTGACAGTCAGCAAGAGGTGAGAGCAGTCCCTGCCCATCCCTACCTCTGCCTCAGTCCTGCCACAGACCTCACCCCTCTCCCAATACCCTGTGCCTTCTCTGCTCCACTCCCACCCTGGGAATGGGAAACCTTGTCTCCTTTTAGAAACTTTTGCTGAGGTCCAGGTATTTTTCAGGGGAAACCCATGGCCTAATGTGAGTTTGTGGTCCTTGAATTCAGACTTTTCTGAACAGCTTCTATTCCTCCACCCACACCATATGTTTGTCTTTTTTTACAGGAGGAACACATCTGTGGACGAGAACTATGAGTGGGACTCAGAATTCCCTGGGGACATGGAATTGCTGGAGACGTTGCACCTGGGCTTGGCCAGCTCCCGGCTCAGACCTGAAGCTGAGCCAGAGCTAGGTGTGTGAGCCCCAGGGAAAGGCAGGCATCTCGGCCATGCTGTCCCACATCCCCCCTGCCACCTTAGGACCCATCTATTCCCAGTCAGACCCTGCCTCCCAGGCTCCTCTGCTCTAGACTGTGCCTTGCCCCCTTGGGCCATCTGTACTGGAAGGGCCTAACAAGCTTCACATCTGACCTTTTCACTCAGTGAACCTCAGGGCTTCTTCTCATTGTCCTGCCCGCCTCTTGCAGGTGTGAAGACTCCAGAGGAGGGCTGCCTCCTGAACACTGCCCATGTTACTGGCCCTGAGGCCCGCTGTGCTGCCCTTCGGGAGGAATTCCTGGCCTTCCGCCGCCGCCGAGATGCTACTAGGGCTCGGCTACCAGCCTATCGACAGCCAGTCCCTCACCCCGAACAGGCCACTCTGCTGTGAACACCCCTAATGTGAGGCTGGGAAAAGGCATATGGACCTGCAAAGGAGGCCCCCAACCAGACTGACCTAGCTTCAACCTAGGACACTGCCCCTGCCTGCCCCTTTGGTGCCCAGACCCTGATAGTGGATAGTGAGCCTGGGTCACCTTGGTATGGAATGTATGTGCTGACCCCCTAGGTGAGTCTGGGGATTGGAACAGGGATCTTAGGTCTGCCCCCCCCCCTTGTGTGTGTGTGTGTGTGTGTGTGTGTGTGCGAAGTTTTTTACAGGTGAATAAACAAAGTTTGAAAGATGTTTCTGTGTGTTACCGTCTTTGAGAGAGTGCCAGGAGAATCCCTGGACCCTTAAAGAAGAGGAGAATCTTATTGAATGAATGGAGGTGCATTCAGCATTCATTCAAGAAGCATTTATTGAGTGCTTACTGAGGCCAGCTACTAAAGGCCAGCCATTGAAGTAGATACTGAGAAAATAAGGTTCTTGAAGACATGTCTTTGCCCTTGAGTTCTTTCTAGTCAGTGAGGCAGACAAGTAAAGAAATAGTTGCCATATGATGTGATAAGTTCTGTGATAAAGCTATGTGTTGGTTATTGTGGTAGCACAAAGGAAGATGTTGCATTCAAGGCCACAAACATTTAGTGAACGCTAATATCGTGTTCCGGGGCAAATGCCACATATTGGAGGGGAGTCCTCAGGACCCTCACAGATGGTGGTAATAATAATAGTAGTATTCACTATGTGCCAGGCACTGCTCTAAGCCCTATAGGTGGACTGTTTAGTTCTCTACAATTCTATGAATTAGGTAGTACTATTAGCTCTGTTTTATAGACCAGGGAACTGAAGCATAGAATGCTTTAGTAATGTGCACAACAGTCACACAGCAGGTAAAGGTGGGGAGCCAGTCAAGGAAGGGAAACTATCCTAGGCAGAGGAATAGCCTTTGTAAAGGCACAGAAGAGTGAGAACGCTTGACAATCAGTGGGACTGGAATATAGGCCTGTGTAGGACTTGGGGAGGGAACAGAGAATAGAAAGGTGGGACGGGACTGGATATTGACATTCTGGAATCTCAGGTTCAAGGGAGGACTCTAACATGTGTGAAGAACTCCACCCAGGGTGACTCTGTTCAACTGAAGCCTGAAAGGGTGGGGGGCTTTCTCTATCCCTGAACTGTGCCGTCCTCCACCCTCAGAGACAAAAGAACCCTGGCCAGCCTCCTCCCGCTGAGGGCTCCCTCTGTGATCCCTCCAGGATTTAGGAAGAGATACCAAGTCATAGAAAAGGAGATGAAAGGCAGGCAGAAGTCAGATCTGAACCCTGGGTCCCAACACCCAACACGCCCCTAGGGCCCTGGGCAAAGAGTGACCTCACTGTTAGTCCCTGCCCAGGCTTGAAGTAAGAGATGAGCAAGATCACGTGGGGGTGCTGTCCCGGCCCGCAAGTCCCAGTCCTGTCACACACTAGTCAGCTGGGGTCGGGGAAAGGCCTTCCTGTGCCTCCATTTACCTTGCCAGCCTCTAAACTAGGAGGCTTCTTCCCACATAAACACGCCCACAGTCTTCAGCTAACTTTCTAGGCAGAAAGTTTCCTACTGCGGCACAAGTCTACGGGCTCCCGGTGGAGGCTGAGGTTCTCACGGGTGGAGACCACTGCAGCTGCCTTCGTAGGTCCAGACTCCCCGAACCTTTAACCCTTGCTCTGCTCAACCGTCCCTCTGTCTCAAGCAGTCCTCCCGCCTTCTGCGCTGCGGCGCCTTTAAACCTTCTTGGCCCTTGCCCCGCCCCGGGTCCGCCCCGTCTGAGGCGGGACCCTCCTGAAAACCCCCGGCTGGGCAGGGCGCACCACTTGCAGCTGCAGCCCTTGCCTTGAGTGGGTGCGCCGCTCCCCACCCCGCTTGAACGGTGAGCAGGTCGCAGGGACGGGGGTCGGGGGGATGTGCATGGTCTGTAGAAACCAAGAAGCCAGCGCTTTTGACTTGTTCCAGCGGGGATCAAGGGCTGGCACCAGGCAAGGGTCCGGTGATTACTTTACCCCGCCCCGTGCTGTCAGATCCTGTCCCCAAGCCCTGACCCGACATTGTTGGACGATGAGGTCAGGCGAGGTTAGTCCATGCATAGACAGGGCGTCCGTCCGTCCGGAGCACGGACTCAGGGACTGAGCTCCACCCGCGGGCTCCATCGCCGAGTCCTCACTGGGGCGAGGGGAAAAAAGGGCGTCGGACATTAGCTGGCTGGCCCCGAGTGACCCCGGGTCGTGGCGCCGGCCCTGGGCCAGCTCGTGCTCCTGGGCTTTCCCGCGCGACCCTTCACTTCCTGGTTCCAGGAGCACGTGTGGGTACTGCGTGCCCTCTGAGTCCCCGAGGCCTCCCTTTTCATTCCTGTTCCTGCTAGCTTGCTATTCTGGGGACTCGAGGTCACGAGCTGGGGCTAGAGGACTCCGCATGGGTCGCACAGTGACCTTCTGTGAAGCTCCAGTCATCTCTATGACGGTCCCCCGACCTCGGGGGTCTGGGTGCTGCAGCCCTGACTGCGCCCCGGGGTGCCCTGTCTGTGTGAGGTTGTGGGGGCGGTGGTGGCTGCTTTTACCCCAGCCCGAGCGCCGCTGCCCCCACCGGGTGCCCCCTGCTGCTGGGAAACCCGGTGGTGGCCGCGGGCGGGCGGGCGGGCTGCCCAGACCACTGCGTCACCCCAACGGCGGGAGGGCGGTGGGTGACTCATCTGCTCTAACGGCCCAGGGTGTGGTCGTGGGGGTGGGGGGGGCGGCGGCTGGGAGGCCGGACCTGCAGGACCGGAAGTGGACTGCCGCCTCCCCCCCCACCCCCGCGCCCTGGGCCTCTTGGGGCTACCTGGAGCCGGTGTCTTGGGAGTTCTGTGAACAGTTGGTATCTGTGGGGCAGAGAGAAACGGGGTGAGAGTGGGGATGGAGTGTGGGATCCGATGTGGAAGACCTGCGGCTGGGACGGGGGTCCCCCAGTGTTCTCTTTGACTCCAAAGCACCAGACAGCGATAGCTCTCTATCTCCAGCCCCCTCCCAGTTTCTCCTCCCTACTGCAAGGGGCAGACCTAAAACTGCAGAGGAGGCCAAGGCAGGGCGGGTCCAGTAGGACCCTACCATTCCAGAACCAACAAATAGGTTTTGTCCAACCGCAACTCCCTCTCTCACCCCAAGGCCTCTGCCCCTGCCCCCCACCCCGGGATTGGCCCCAATCCTTTCTTCATTCCATCCCTTCTCCCTCCAGAATTTTCAGCTGTGGGTTCTCTAGCTCAGAACACTTTCCCTTCCCAGGGAATTTCTTCTCCTGAACGACTACTTCCTGAGTCCGCTTCTTTACCCCAACACGGGTAATTTCCTATCTTCCCCCCACATGCTGTTCATCCCCACCATAGCTGCCTCCTGGAGGAATCCCTTGCACCTGGTTACACCCGAGCACTGCTGGGACGATCCCACTTCTCCCGTGCTCACAGCCTCCTCACCTCAAAGTCTGTGTTGAGAGGGTGTTTCTGCCGGGAGCCCCCACCCAGCCTCAAACACTGTTTGGTATACAGAAGCCATGGCAACGGCCCCCACCTCATCCCCTCCTCCCACGCAAGCTTTGGAGCTTCCTGTTTGTGTAGCCTCAGCTTTCTCTTCTGCTCCTGACTCTCGGTGGTGAGGGGCTGCCCTACGGTGGTTCCCTTAATTGTGGGCCGCCTCCCATCCTTGCTGCTGCTTGTGGCACCTCGCTCTGTTCAGCTGGTGCCCTCACTGTGCTGCTCTTTGAGAACAGTCCCTGCCCCAAATCTGAGTTGGGAAGTTCTCCTGTGTCCCTTCTGCACGGTGGATGGAGAGTCCCTTTGTCTTCCCAGTTAAACACCCTAGCCAAGAACCCTGAAGTCCTCCCCGCCCCCTCCCATGTCCGCCTTTTCTTTGGCTTTGGCTTTGGCTTTGGTGAGGTAAGCTTCCAGCCTAGGGTCTGGGTGGGGCCGAGTGCCTGGCGTGGCCCCTCCCGTTTCCCGCCTATTGTATGTAACTCCAGGGTGAGGGTGAGCGTTGTTCTCACAGCTGGAGTAGCGCTAGGGTTTAGGTTGCTCGCTGCCAGCCTATCTCCCAGGTTGTTCAGCTATCACCTTCCTTTGGGGTCCCCAGCTCTGGGGGTCCCCCACACCTGTCTTCCAGCTGGGCATATCTCTTCTCACCCTGGTAGGCAACTTGCTTACTGTTTTCTTTATGGGAGGGCAGGGGCAGGTCCCCTGGGTGTCCCTAGGGTGGGCCTTCCCAGCTCCAGCAGCCGCAGCCCATCAGCTCCTGCCTGCCTGTGGGGTTGGGGAGGAGAAACAGCTGCTGGCCAGGCCTGGCCTGGTTGGAACTGCCCCTTCTCAGGACTCCGCCCTATGGCTCTGGCACCTCAGAGCTTGAGGGCAATGGCCCCAGAGTGGAGCAGACACACTGCAGCTGGAGGCCGCTACCCTGTCAGCTGTGTCCAGGCCCCAGAGTTGGGCGGTGGAGGGGGTTCCTCAGCATCCACTTTCCACCCAGTGGTGGGTCTGGGAGGCCAAGTTTGTCCTGTCTTGGGGGTTGGGGGGCACTGGAAGGGTCTGGCTTCAGGCCATTCTCTCTCTGCTCTTAACCCCAGTGTCTAGGTTAATCATTCTCCTGCCCTTTCTTTACCTGTGCCATGGTGATCCCCGAGCCTCAGGGAGAGGTTCCAGAAGAGAGGTCTGGAACTGGGCTGCGGAGAGGGGGCTTACTAGTGGTAGTAGCTCTTAGCCCCTTCCTCCTCCTACCTGTCTTCCAGCCATTCCCCTGTGCATCAGAGGTTAGAGGTTTCTGTGGCGGAGTGGCCGCTGGGGAGGGCGGGAATGCTTGTCTTGTTTTCTCCTCAGAACTCAGCCACTCCACCCCTCCTGCCTTCCCCCAGCTGATGGTGTGTGTGCCTGGTGCTGTGGGTCCGGGCCCAGAATGACATTTATCTGGCCCAGCTTTCGGGCTGGGGGAAGTGGAGGGGGCGGGTTGCTCTTAATGAGGTTTAAAAATAACTGATTTAGGGGAGGATCTGCCGGAAATGGGCAGCTTGATAAGCAGCCATGTTGGAGTCAGGACGGGAGGGACTGGCCTGAGACACAGCCTCTGCAGCTGAGAGGGGTTGAGGGTTTGAGGCAGGCTGGTCACCTTGTAGTTCGCAGAGTCCTGAGCCCCACTGAGCGGGAGTGGTGGGCCTCAGATTGTCATCCAGATTGTTTAACCTGGATGTGTGGGAGAGGGGGAGCCAGAGTGACTTCATCCCTGAAGGCCAACCTGGCCTGGAGCCAGATGTGGTTA